CAGATGCTCCCACCGTCGCAGGAGGAGGGATGCGATTAACCTGTTTCTTTTCATTCCCTGCATGCAAATCAGTTGCTTAAAATAACAAAGTTTCGTATTTTCATTGCAAAAAAAAAAAAAAAACAAGCCTACTGCTGAGCTGCGTTGCCTGCGTGTTAACTTTGAGCTGCTAAGTGACTGGGTTTGGGGGGGTTGTTAAAGGAGGAAGCACTGTGAAATGCCCGTTCTGTTGTAAAATAGTTCATTACATTTGCCTGAGGTGAGGCACCTTTAGGTGCGTTTATTCTGTTCCGGCTGTGTGATGTTGATGACGTGTTCAGTTAGTGGTTTCCTTACTTCTAGGTATTTGGTTCTGTAAATGATGTTATACGAGGACAGGTATCACATGGAACGGGGGAAGCAAGGGTTGCACAGCCACGTGCCCGAGGCTGTATTACAGCTGGCCAAAGCCTGTTTCCTTGGGCAGTGCTAAGCAGCTACTGCCCCAGCTCCCTCAGTGTATGTGTACCTGGAATAGGTAAGCATGCTTCTGTCTCAGGTACTGGTTGATGGTTTTATTTCAGAAGTAGAGTGGACGACTCCTTTAGCACAAAACAGTCCATTAAACAGTCTTAGCAAATGGGCTATCGTGCCTGTGTTCTCATGTACGCTCCCACAGTCCAGGGCTGCATGTGCCCTCCTTGTGCTTCACACTAGAAACGAAGCTGACTAGCAATGTGGTTTTAATGGTCTAAACTCAGATCTACATAAGGTAGTGAGTAGAGTGCTCTGCGAGTTCATTCATGAGCATGCATTCTCTCATGCTCAACCACCCCTCCTCTCTGGACACAAATACCCTAAACCTTTCACAGGGAACATCCTGTACTAAGCGCTTCATTAGAAAGCTTCAATCTAACTACCAAACTTCGCTTAGCTTATAAGAGAGGCCAGGATCACAAAGTGAAGTGTACAAGCCACAGGCCAAAAGCTGCCTTTGGAAATCCACAGGGAACAGAAGCCTCATACAAACTAGAATGGAAGAAAATTTGTCTATGAGAACTTCTGGAGAATTTCATCAGTCAGATATACTGGCTTTTCTCTTTCTGATTCACCAGTCTCCCTTCTTCCTCTTCTACACCCACATATGTAAAACTGGATGGAAGATAATTTATTTCTGTAGGATATACCTCTGCCTGCCTGAAAATACGTCTAACCAACACAAATCTGCCCAGAGGAACTGTCTTTGGGTACTAACTTAAGAACTTCCTCTAACTGTGTCACTTCTTTTTACCCTCACACTTGCCTTCTTATTGGGTCAGGGTGGGGAGAAAATGAATTAAGCTGATACGAAACAGTTAGTGAGATTAAAAGGCAGTAACTGAAAGAAGAGTACAGAGTTTGGACTGGTAGAGGATGCTATGAGTGGAGAAAAGGGCATTTTTAAAAGGGTCTTTCCACCTCAGTTTCCCTTCAGGAAAGAAGGTTGAGTTTGCAAAAACCGGTGAAGAAAATTACGTGCTTTGGTTTTGTCCACAATCCGTAGCCTTAATATAAAGTGGAGAATGGCTGATTTTAGATCAGGTTCGGCAGATATACAAATCACATGCCACAGCCTGTACTAAATAGAATAAAATAAATCTCATATTTTAGAGCTTGGTGGTCTAGAGGGGAACATTTGGCTTGAGGCTGGGAGTCCTACCTTTGAAAGACTATAGTCTTTCATATTCATTGCAGTGAGCAAGCCACAGCAGATTCTCCGCAGTATTAAGACAGGCTGTGGGCTCTGTGCTAGGCTACCTTCAATAGCATTTCAGGCTACCTAGAACTGCTTCCAAGTGGAGCTTATTCTGGGACTATCTCCTTTCAGCGTCCCCTGTAGCAGAGCATCCAGGAGTGTTCTTTAGAATCTGAACAAACAGGAGAACAAATACAAGAAGCAAATTACTTGCTGTTAAACAATGGCAGTAATTTATTATACTAAAATACAGCAGGAGCTTCAGCAGTCTGCACCCTTTGAAGTCATTTTGTTTTTATGACTAGTGCTAGTTTGTACCCCTGCACTGCAGGTGTGGTTGGTGCAAATACCTGCTATTGAGATACTCCATTCTGAGTTTTGTCAGTGCAAATTAAAAAAGCATAAAACAATTTTGAAAGGGTTTGTACTACAGATATTCCTGCATGGCAGTAATAGTAGCCAAGGCAGCAGCAGGGTTTTGTGTGGTTGACTTGAGACTAGTGATTTCTGGAATAGTGAAGTTCCACTAATCAGAAGAATTTAGGCTTCTGTGTCTCTACTTATTGCACCTGCAGCAATTTGTCAAGGGGAGAAAGACTGAGATGGATCCTAAGTGCCTACACTCCCACCAGCCTTGTATTGATCTAGAAATTAGTATGCACTATCTGTTAGGGAGAACAGGTTTCATAATGCTCACAGGAACAGACATGACTCAAAAGCTCTGTAGCAGGTTTGTTTTTTTTAAGAGCTCTGCAATGTAACCCAGGAGAATAGCATAGTGGCTAAATGGTCATTCTGCTTTGGCAAACGCCCTGAGACATTAACACGGAGGACAAAGGAATTAAAAGGAAAACCAATCTCTGCTAACTCAGTGCTGCTCCCAAGAGCAAGTATTGCTGGTGTGCATACAAGCTCACCATGTAAGCCAAAAAGCTTTAGGGAACTGGTGCTGGGGCTAGATTTTGACCCGCTGAGCTTCAGTAGACAGTTTCCAGAAAAAAACATTCCCAAACTTCCTGAAATGTCACGGAAGAAAAGGGGGGGAAGAGCTTTCCAAAAATTTTGATTGTTATTCAACAAATATGAAGAATTTTACACGCAGAAACCAGTTCACTCACAAAATGCACCTCTTGTAAATCCATTCATCGCTCTATTCCTATTTTCAGGACTTCAGATCTAAGTGATGACTACACCGTGCTTATCTTTCTCCAACCAAGTGCTCTGAAGATTAGATAGGCCAAAAGAACAAACAGACACTGCAACTTTACATTTATAAACTCATATTACTATTTCTATAAAGCTAATAACAATGTAAGTAATTTTAAGTAAATTAATAACCTTCCAGAAAATACAAATATATGGAATTAGCAGTGTTATACGTCCAGGAAACAATCAGTCATTGACTCCATCACAGGATGTCATATTTGCACTCTATTCAAGGAAGTACATATGAAAAGCAATTTGCCTTTTGCATTAGGTGAATGCACGACCATAAGCAAGTAGCTGTCTGATCCGAGGGGAGAATGAAACAAGAGATCCTAGAAGCCTAGATCTCCTACAAGTTTGTATGAATGTGTGTCTGGCAATACCAGGGCTGTATGTGTAAAGGTAGTTTGGGATCTGGGACAGTGGTTTTCCCTTGAAAAGACCAGAGTCTTTGTTTCCCTAATGAGAAAAAGATTCATTCCAAACCGGATCTTTGAGCAAACATTCAAGGCTTTACTATCTTGTTGAGCCAGTATGCCCACATAGCTAATCAGTTATGTGCTATAAGAGGTTTTATTGTTACTACAAATTTGCTGGTAGGCAATATGGAGAACTGAATTATAGTGGAAGTAAAATATCGAACAGCTGTTTTTGTAATATCGGTAAAAGAAAGAAACATTTTGCAAAATAACCAGAGTACCACGACGGCAACGTTCAGATTGGGTGGCCATCAGGGCCAAAAGAAGAGCATCCTTTATTCATGTCTATCTGTAGTGAAGAAATACCATTTGTTCCTTGCACTGCGTGATACGTTTTATTTCATTCATGGTCAATACATTTAACCAAGCTTCAAGCTCCTGAAAAGGGCTCTAACTTAATGATTTTCACCCTGGGGTTCATCAGTTACTTCCACGGGGTCTTGTCCAGGTAATAATGTAAATGTTTGTGTCAGGAGGCTTCTGTTTCCTCTTGACACCTGCATTTCCACTAGAAAATAGGTATCAGCAAACTGAAAACAGTTGAAAATTGCTTACTGTGTGTATGTACTAGAACCTGGTAGAATGCAGATGCTGAAGGTGTTTAGTACCTGGCAGGATCAGGGCTTGAGACAGCAAATGGAGAGACTGATCAGAGAAATATTCAGGATATTAATCCAGTCCCAATAAAGTTGAGGATCTCCTTGGAAATAGTAGAATTTGAGCTAGAGAACAATGTACGTATTCAGTGGTAATGGGGCTGCACTGAACTAATCCCTGACCCTCTGGGATACTCTGAAACGTGTCAGTAAAAACAGCATTGTACAGGACTATCCAGTATTGCTATAATTAAAAACTGGCTCCCAAAGTGGGGCTGCTCCTTGTATTGCAAGAGAAGATTGTGCTTCAAAGTCATTTCACTCTGGAGTGAGCACTGGTATTACTCAAGGGCCAATCAATCACCTCTGTGTGGAAGTGGCATTCCCAGTTGACAGTCTGTAATGCACTGTCATTGTCAGCAGTAGTAGTAGAGGAACCCCCCAAGTGTTCCTACTGCAACAGCCGTGTTATGAGAGGAACATCCATCTGTGGAGAAAGTTCTTGAATGTTGTTACATGGCTTGCACAGGTGATGATCTGCATTCCCGATTTTAAATTCATATGCGTTTGGAAGGCTACAATAGTGTTTAGTTAGGGAGATCAAATGGTAAAATTGAATTGGGAGTCAGAACTCCAATTAGATTTTATGCCCAAGATTTGGGTGACGTTGGGCTCAGCGTGTGACCTTGAATAAAATACTCTCTGCGCTCTACCCAGTCATTGAGATAAGAGTCTTCTACCTAACAGGAATATTGTGAGTCTACAGAAATGTTTGCAAAGTACTTTGAGAGCCACTGAAGACAAAAATCTACCTTTTATATAATGAAAAACAATTGACTTCATGATATGAATCTACCTATCACAGTATAAATAGCTTCAGTTGCTATCCCTCTGTGCAAGACTGCTGCATTTCCAAAGATCAGAAACATGGACAGCCAGATAGATTAATATCGGAGTTTCTATATGGGATGAAGAGATAAGAATTTTAGGATTTCCGAGTTTCCCTAGTGCTAGGCATCCTGCTTAAGAACTCACCTAGGAAGACAGGTGACTCATTTCATGGATGATAATGAATATTAGCTCTCTGACTACTTTAAACAGGCTGCTTTGAATAACATAAACATCACTTGTTCAAGTGTTTTATTCTACAAATGCTGTACTCATTGTCTTTCAGGAGCACTTTCTTTTTGTAAGACTATATTGATACATGGAAAGATGATAACAACATGGTTGAACTGATAAATGTGAAATTTAGCCAATTTTTATGTTAACGAGTTACCTGCAAACGGACCTGATGTTGGTAGATATTTGCTTGTCAGGACCCTCAGTGTGCCAATAGGCCTTAATTTCCCTGACTAGCTTCACTTGGGGCCTCTACCCCACCCCTGCACTGCCACCCCCTTACCACCCTGCACCCATGCACCTCATTTAAGCTCAGGCCTGGGTCTTCAGTTCTTGCCTGAGCTATGCTGTAGATATCCCTGTTTCCAGTCCTGTTCCTGAACTGCTGTTTGGATCTCCTAGATTGGCCTTGGATTTATTACCTTGCTTTGCTTGATGATCGCTGGGCTGTCAATAGGACCTCTTGCTGTCACCCCCCTGCTCTGCTCCCCTGGCTCAGTTTGCCGTGGGATGGTGCCCTGTTGGGGAGATCATTGCCTGGCTTGTGCTGCTCCCTCGGTCACCCTTGGCTCTCCTTCTCTTAGGAAAGAGCTGGCCCTCGTTGCTCCCTGGTATTGTTATTCAGAATATTTTTTCCAATTCTATTTCAGCCTGATTTTGGTGATTTGTTCAGTGCAGGCACAGATTTGAGTTCTCATTCTGCACTCATGTTGTAAGATTTCCCCCCAAACTTGTAAGTAACTGTCACCTAATATAAAGATTCCTGCCTGACAAAAACCTTGGAGAGTATTTCAGGATTATGCAAGCATTTGTGACACCTTCTGTTTCTGCAAACATTCCCAGGGAGAAAGGAAAACCACTTATACATGTAAGAAAAAAGTTAGAATTACCTTAGCAACAATGGTTTTGATTTGTATTATTGAAAAGTTCATGCAGCAATTGTTCAGCACTAACTGGAACAAAGCTTTCCAAAAATGCCTCTCCTCTAAATACTTCCACTATTTTTACCTGCAAACAGCTTCTCCCTTCTCTTAATTCTCCTTAGCAGATGTTTTTGGTCTGTTCCTCCAGAGGTGTGTTCAAAATCCTTACCTGAAAAAGATGAAATATGGGAAACTGATTACCCCTCAATGTGGAGGACTCTTTCATCCACAACGAGGAAAACTCTTGCTAATGCCTCCTTCCAAAGTTTGTTTTCTTGAAGCAGGTTAGGCGACCTTACGTCACAACTGACAATATAGACTTCAAGTGAGGAAATCTATTAGAAATGGGCTAGGGCTTTAGGAATCTGTATAACTGGGTACGTTCTTTGCTTTGAAGCTGGGGTAGCATTTGTGAAAGGTTTTGGACATGAAAAACACTAATGATAGTTCTTTTTCCAGTAGAGAGATGTGGAGGACGTTCTTTGAATCTGTGTTTTCAATAAGACCCGAGAGAAATGTTCTAGCATAGCCCTTTGATTTGCAATCTCTATCTTGTATGTTTGGATCAGGTATCGCTACGCCTCACCCTGGTAAGGTAAGGCTTACTCACTAGGTTTTCCAAAGCATCCTTCGTTAGCCTTCTGCCAAGTGAGAATGGCCTCCAGCCATCTGAGTTTGTAGAAGTCTGAGAAACCAGACATGCCACAGAACATAACTGGAAGAAACAAAATGGGACAGAAAACCACAGCTTTTTGTCATGTTTGCTTCCTCATATGTTTGATCTCCAGTAGGAAAGATGCTCATAAACCGTAATCAAAGGAAGCAATACCACGCCATGTAATCCTGGCAAACTATTTTATACAGTGGATTTAGGCAAATAAATTCTAGGCTTGAGAATCTTGGCTCTTATGATACAGCTATAATGCATGTTAACAGAATTATGAGCTTTATTTCATATACCTTGCTTAAGCTGAGATAAAGATTCAGACTGTAAAATTCAAGTTATGTATCTCAGGCGGAGGTTGTAAACGCTGTATAATTCACTACTTTAACATAGCAGATCTTTTCTATATCTTTTGTCTGATTCACTACCCCTGAAGTGAAAGGTTTACTTTTATTATTTAACAATAACATCTGCTGTGTTGTTGGTTAACTGGGAATAGGTTACGTACTATTTTCCATGAAGAGGTCTCGAGAAGAAAACTGGAATCCATTGGTTTCAATTTCCAGGTTTATTTTCATCATGCTAGCACAGAAAATATTCTTGTAATACTGGGCCCTCAGGAACAGATGATCTGAGCATCCTTTCTAGATAAAGAAGAGAACTGAAGTATCGCACTGCATTTTACAAGGCTTTCCTCACAACCCCTCTAATCTGGAGGAGGAAAGACTGGTTCCTCAGAACCAGCTGTTATTTACAATCGAAAACTTTATTTTGGATTCAAGTGTTCTGTGATCATTCAATCTAATAACATTACTGTTAGCAGGAAGCATTTTCATGGACCACAGGCTCCCCACAAATATAACTTTCCTTCTTAACAGGCCTGGGGGGAATTGAGAAGAATATTAGTCCCTGCTTCCTGTATAGGGACCATATTCTATTATCATCCATTTCAAGACTGCAACAGTATATGAAATAGTATTTTCAACCAGCTTGTTTTGGTGTCTATATAGAGAGTTGTCCCAACAAATATATATTGTTGCCTGGTGCCTAAGCACTAGTTAGGTACAAGTATCACCTAATTGGTTACTGGAAGTGTGTCACATGTCTATAGCTGCTGTGTAGTCTTCATGATAAAGCACCTAGATAAATTATTGGAGTTAATCAGGAAAGAAAGGAGTGGCCTTATAAAATCAAGGTGGGAAGATGGGGGAAAACATGGCCCGTAAAATTGCAAATATACTCCTAGGTATTTTATTTAGGGTATTTGCAAGTGTAATCAGAACCAGAGGTCCTTTGCTTTGTCTGTACCTAGCCTAGATGCAGTGTTCAGAGAAACCTGCCTTATGCCTGAGGTTAGGTCTGTTTCCCCTTCCTGCCCCTTTTCCCAGTTTCTATTTAATTCTTCCTCCTTCATCTTCCTTTTGATGCAGCCCCTGCTTCCTCTTTCTTTCTTCTACTCCAGACTGTTCTCTGTCCGGAGAGATAATTTCTAAGTGTTTTGTTGCCTGCTTTGACAGACTCTTGGCAGATTCATAACTCTTCCTGCCACAACTTCAGCATTTTCTTGATATAATCATTGAAGTGATCAATGGGTCACTTTGTCTAGGAGCTGCCTCCTAGACAAAGTGCAACAAACTAGTTACTGCATAATCTGTCCTCTTCTCTCCCCCATGTTTATTCCAAGACATACCACTGATGCAGTCTTTTTCCCTTCATTCACCCAGTCCTACCAGCTCCACCTAGAGTTTCTCTTTACCTCTGCAGTCTCCTGCATCTTTCAGGTGAATTCTCCTAGAAAGCTTCTTCCTCCCTTTCCTCCATTCATGTCTACAATTTTGATTATATCACCATTAAGAAAATATTGGCTTTCTTCAGTGCAGAACTAAATGATGGTACCGCCACTTCTGCCTTTTTTCTTTACTTACCTGCTTTTCTCTGGAAATGGAGTTTGAATTTTCTGTTTGCCTCTGAACTCCAAAATATCAGATTACCACCTGGATACTCTTATAATTAGATAAATATCTCTGGCAAGGCTTTGCTGTTTCTCTCCATTAACTCTAACTTCCTGTTGAATACTCCACCATGTCATATTGTTTTGTTTTTCTATGCATAATGTTGGCTGCCATGATTGATAAATCTTGGATAATAAAACTTGTCACTTACCAGATCAGCAAACATGAAGTAAAAAAGCTGATGGGACAGGGAGTAATCTGAGCAACCAAGCTTTGTCATTATGTTCCTACAGGTGCTTGTGACAATGCAGGACTTGCCACTTTCTTTCCTGTATAAGAACAGCAACACAGATAGAGTTCAAGAGTTTGATATGAACTGCTCAGGAAGGCATATTCCACTTCCTATATATATGTACAAGAGAGTAAATCATGAGATTTACCTGCTTGTCAGTGTAAACGCTAGCAAAAGGTAGAAACACCTCATACAACGGTGGCAATAACAAATATTTGCCCATCATTAAAACATACCCTGTTCCCAGCAAATACGTCAAGCACAAGTCGCTTATTTCCTCTGTAAGACACTTGGTACCACCAAATGCAGAGTAAGCCAGCAAGGAATCAGTTTGGTTCCACAGTCGAGGAAAGACCCAAAAATCTGGTCCTAAAATCGGTTCAAATTCTGAAAGCAAATCAAAGAAGGTAGCCCATAATTAATGGTTTGGTAGAGGGAGTTGCCAGGTCCTGCCTGATTTCTTGTGTCTGTCTGTACCCAAGGGTACTCCTGCCTGTGTATGCATGGAGCTATTCTGCAGAAACATCCATCGAGGTCCGTGTTTGAGGTAAAGCCATCTTGTGGACATACCAGAGACTGAGGCACTTTCTTTCTGCCCAAAGCAACAGAAGCAAAATGGACCCTATAAAAGTAATGGTAGTGCCACAGAATGATAGGTATGTGATTTAGGAAAAAAACTATATGCCAGGAAAAACACTTACATTTTTCAACAGGTATTGACTAAGTGCATCACTGCGACTTCACTGTGAAGCCACCAGATAGCTTGAAGGGACCAAATAGGGATGTTATGAAATAGACAAGGGATTTGTTTCTAGTGACTCTAAAAAATGCACTGGACCTATGATGCAAAGAAGAGCAAGCCTGAAACTAATCTCTCTGACTTTCAGAGCTAAATATTCACGCTGTACAGACCTTCCCTTAGCGCATTTCTCTATGCCACCCAAAAAATAGGCAGCAAAATCATAACTCCCAAGATTTCAGGCTCGTGCTCTGACGTTCCAGCCTCTTACTAGCCCTTCTTTTCTAAGCATTTCCAGGACGTATACCAAATATTGCCCTCATTCTAAGTAAATTGTTTCTTTTCATTCACATCTTTGTTTCATAGAGTCATTGCATAAAGGAAAAAAAAATACTGTTACACAAATAGCTCAAACTTGAACAAGAATTATTTTTCTTCACCACTATTAGTATGACTTATTTTTACCTTTGAAATATTTGGGGTCATTCTGTGCTAGAAAATGAGTTGCTTTTTCAATCACAGAAGACAACTTCCTCACCAAGCTCTCAACTTGGGCACGTTGAGCAAGCGATTGATGCTCTGAGGACCATTTTTCTAGGGTTCCTTCCAAATAACCTGCAGAAAGAAAAAAAAATATTTTTGCATATAAACTCCCAGCCCATCCCCCTCTCCTTTTTTTTCTAATTGTAAAATACAGTTTTGCAGCTTTTTCTAGTGACTGTCATTCCCCCTGCCCCCACACACCTTTTTTTCAGTGAGATTTAACCTGGAGAACGTTAAGTAATCCAACGTACTGTTGTACTAATCTAAGGAGCACCTCCTTTTGCTTGCTTAGCAGGTACCTTACTGCTGAGCACGGCGCTACTGTAACTAGAAGCCAAACTATTTCTTGATATAGTACAAAGAAAGAAGGAAGAAACCATAGCCATGCAATATGGTTAAGGTGATCTCTGTAGGACAACATGTTATGATGTTGCACAGGAAATCAAGTACTTCTCTACTCCTCCTTTTTTTCTTCTTTTATACACGTTAAGTCTTGGGAAAACAGATGTGTGTGTTTTGTAAATACAGGCTTTTGGACAGATGAGCTGCCAGGAAGCCTGTTCTCCGCTTCAGACTCTCATTGTGGAGTCCATTCTTTTTTCTTGCATATCGTGAATTAGAGGTTCCAGGAAAGAAAGTGGCGGGGTGCACACTGTTTGAATCACCTCGACTCCAGGAGAAACTGTGTTCTCTTATTTTGGAGATACCACCGTCCATACCACTGGTTTCTCCTCTTTTGAAAAACTGACCTGGAAAATTCCAAACATCAGCTCCTTGAAGAAAAAACTAATGCCTTATGTGGGAAAGGTAATGTTATAAACTCTAAGTCATGTGTGTTTATTTAGCCTTCCATGGTTACATAACTTCAAAAAATATACAAGAGAGGGCCTCTGAAATAGACCCACATATGCACAAGTGATTTTGAAAGCATTTTTCATGACTCTGGGACTAGACTGATGATTTTTGAGCGCTTGAAGCTAGGTATACTAGAAAAATAGGATGCTAACTGGTCTTATAGAGATACTTCAGCATTTGGCTGAAGAAATGATATTGCTGCCTCTCAGGACCTCAGGTACTGCCTCAAGTGCCTCCTGGCACCCTTACAGAGGTAACTGGAATTTATCCACACACAGACAAAGGAGCCACGTAGTCAGGCCATCTCCTACTTGAGAGCTCCTCCAGCGCGTTGGAAGGCGCATGGATGGGCTCAGAGTGCCTTTGTCTCTCTGCTGCACCCACAGTTTGGGTGAGGAAGGCACTGAAAAAGGGTGATGGGGCAACACCGTTGAATTCTGATCCCAGCCTCAGTAATAGCCCCCTGGGAGATGGCAGCATTGCTGCTCATCATAGTAGGGAGCATGCGTAAGCTGACTGCACCTTGCATTAGCCCAAAGATTCGTGTGTGTAAAGGCAACTTTCATTGGTTTGGGTTCTACAGAAGGATATAATATCCGGCATTATCAAATAGATTAGAGTTTGAAATATCCTTCTTACAGCTCATTCTGTTCCTCCCAACCCAGAGATTAACCCAACTGACTCCTTACAAAAACAAGAATCAAGGTTTCTTCTAAGATATACTTCAATATAAAGGACAGCTGGATGACTGCTGCTGTTCTTTACATTTAAGGAGCTGACTCTTCAAAACATTAAAAAAAAATTAGAAATCTTACAAAATACATCATACTACTAGCAATCAGGTCTACTTAAAATAAAAAGCAAATTTAAAGGTGAGAAAGTTGGTATCCGCTTAGTCTGACATTTTTAGAAACAACTGAGTCACAGTACCTTGCAAAATATGAAATCCCAACACCGCATCTAAATTGATGTCCTGATACTGACTCTCCATGAAGACAGTCGCTTTCTCAAGCGCAAGAAGGATGGAGCTCCTCACATCAGGCTCACTTCTCAACAAGCTGGACTTGGAGAGCGAGATTAGCAGCAAGAAGAGAGTATAAGACATTGCTACTTTGTTCAGAGGCTTGTGTAAGCCCCAAATGTCACAGCAGCTCCTGTTCTTCACTTCCTGTACTTCCCCTTCCCACGTTAACCGCAGAAATGCTACGGTCTCACAGAAAGCCTGGCTGCTATCTTCGATGCTAGGTAAATGTCCCGTTCCTTTTAATGTCAGTCAAAGCACTTGGCAATTTGGTTCATCAGGTCAAATCCAGTCCTCCCTCCTTAGCTTGGATAAAACTGTTGTCAGCAGCAATTGGTAGGGAGGAACCCTCGTGCTCACAGGCAGGGACAGGAGAGGTAAGGGACTGTCACTCTGCACCTGAGGCACAGAAAGCTGCTGGTGCAGGTGAGGAGGTACTGAGAAAGCATTTCCATGCGGTGGAGGGGGGGAATCAGCGCGCATGTGCCTACGAGCAGTTGAATATGCGCCGGTGAGTAAAATACTATAGGGCACTGGGAAAGATAGACCTGCTCTTCATAGCACGAATTATACCTCGTCCCCTCCGTTCCCCAGGGCTAAGCGTCCGGCCTGCTGCGGCCACTTCCACCCCCAGCGCGAGGTGGGCTTTGGAGGGCTCCCGCAGAGGGGGGAAGGCTTTGCCAGCGTCCTCAGGGAAAGGGGGAGTTGCAAGTGTGGAAATGAAAGGCTAGGGAGAGGACGGGCCTCACTGTACCTTACAGGGCTGCAGAGTTCACCCAGGGTATTTGTTCGTCCCATATCTAGGCTCAACGCTGCCTGGTTAGTGAGAGGTAAAGGAAACACAGCACTTAGTCTGCGCAGCTCTGCAACGTATTACGTATGCTGAAAGACGCATCCGAACTCCCTGCGGTTGGCCGATTTCTAACCGAAAGCTATTTTAAGACCAGTTTTCAAGGAGGAATTGTTTCAAAGAGCCTGTGAGAAGGGGCTGCTGCCCGGGGAGCAGCCAGCAGCGCGGGCGAGAGGAGCCGGCTCCGCCGGGCTGCGTCACGCTGCGGGACTGGCGAACCTGCAGCACCGACTGCCGCAACCCCCAACGGTTGCGGGGGCTCTCCCAAAAAACTGCCGTGTTGCCGGTTTCAAGTAATACCTCACAAAAGTTTTCCAGGAGTACATATGTGGGAACGAACGCGTAGCTGGAAAGGAAAATCAAACATCAGGAGATCATCAGAGGTGCACCCGGATGTCGTGCAGGATGCCACGAGCACTGTGTCTTTCTGCTGAAGAAACAGTCTGAAAAACCTGAAAAAACAGGGTTGTTCCGGGCTCCTGTGGGAACAGCCGAACGCAGCTACCTGCCAGGGGGAGAGCTCGCAGCGCCAGGCCCAGAGCCGCCCCTCAGCCTCCTCCCCCCGCCCGGCACCGCCAGGGCACCGCCTGCCTCTGAAGCACCGGCCTCGCCTCGCCCTGCCCCTTCGGAGCACGGCGGGAGGGGAGGAGGCAGCGGGCCTCGGG